GTATATATTCACACACACACACACACACACACGTACATGTATGCATATCTATAAAATGGTGTCTCATTAGAATTGATTCCGATGGAAGAGTATGTCGAACGCGTCCTGTAGTATGGTGGCACGACTTTTCATCGAAGTCAAGCAACGAGATAGCAGCAAGACGAACACGAACAAACTGGGTTTTTCTGTATTCTAAAATGGGTTCCAGTTATTGTTTGTCAGGAAATTAAGTATCTCGATGAGACATACTATTTTAAATCAATTCACTAGTCACAGGCAAGCAACAGGAGGCAGAAGAGACCAGCGAATCTCCCGACGTAAAAAACACTTCAGAACCTCAGCTATAGTCTGTAGCCTATTGTGACTTTGATTAGTGCTGTAGGCGACTATGAAGCTCGACGCACAGATACAGATACGCTCTGGCTGATTGTACCGGGGTAAAAAAACTATTAAAATAGCTAGCAGCACTCAACAGACAGCCGTAACCGATGGAGTACCATGACCGGCACCAATACAGAAAGATTCAAACCATTCGTTATCTCTACAAGCACCAAACATCACACCCAATGTATAGCTATAGTTCAAATCAATATTCATACTGTGACTACGTTTCAATACAAACAACGCACAAGGCATTCGGAATCGTTGAAGGCACAAAACATCAAACCCAACACCGAGTTTAAACCGAAGCACAACTAGGTCTGCATACCCGAAACTTCTTATAACTGATGTCCCCTCCAAACTCTGACAGCACGAGTTCGACAAAGTCAGGTCTCTGGTCACCGCCGTACCGCCTCAGGGTTGTATGGTAGCTGGTGATGTGAGCACTGGCTGCGTTGAGCGCCTGCAAGCATAGAGCATAGTAAGACCAGCACAGGCTTCAGACCGTCGGTTGACATGGTTCTTTATTGATGTAGTAAAGGAGGTAGACCGACGCCTGGTCTTTACTAGATACTTGTATATACCCGTGTCTATGCCTAGCAAACTGATACCCATAAACCTTCGGTCCATGGCCTACAGGGGTCCATGTTAAACCTGAGAGTACAGTAACCAATTAAAAGGTGGGATCAAGAGCCGCATGCGGGTCGCGGATGCCGGAGACCGCGTGTCTGTGCGTACGTACTTTACCGACACGATAAGTGCATTCTATTGTTTGGAAAGAATATACGCAAGCGCACCATGCGAAACCGCTCCCTAAGTAATCGATACTTCCAGTTATGGATACCTATTCCTAATTTGGACATCTGTTCCGCATTCGAATACCTACCGCTTGTATCAGGAACGGAAATCCATTGTTGTTGTTGCAAATGCGACACACGAGCTCGCTTACTATATATGTGAGGTGTTGACGGACGGAGTTTGCCGCGCATTCGTCTTTGGTCACGTACTGTAGGGTACAAGTAGGTGCAGCATAAGTACGAGTTCGAAGGTATCACGAATTTTGCAGGGCCTTGTACGATATTGGAGAACTTAGCATGAGAAGCATGTAAATGATTGCAAGCCTATAAGAGAAGAAAATTCGATAGCGTATTCTAGGAATTTAAAAAGCGCAGCAAAATGAGGCGCTTTAAATGGCCAAAAAACTTGGTCATGTACTGCAGTATGCCATGGACCACAAACAAAAACACGTTTCGAAAGTCTTGGCATACTTCTACGAACTTGAGATGATATGTAACTAAAGCCCAGCCGCGATGGAAAAATTCTACGGACCAAGAGGAAACCACCCTTGACAAACCGGATACGCACACACACACATACACACACTCATACGTACGGACATACATACATACATACATACACACACACACACACACACACACATATATATATATATATACACACACTCTTTCTCTCTCACACACACATATATATATATACATATATAATCGAAGAATAAGTGTACTCAAAAAGAAACAGCGCAGGACATACGAACACGTGTGAACTCATAGGCAGATACCTGGTACCACGGATACCAATGCGTTTCCAGCAGCTTGTCGAACAAAGCTTCCAAAGCGGCATTCACCTCGGGCGTGACTTTCAGATCAGCACGATTGACGTGAGATTGCCACAACCATTCCGGTCGAGTGGGAGCCGTCAGAAAGAGACGCACACTCAGCGTTAGCGAAAGCACTAGAAGCATCAGGGCTGCTACCACTCCGTACATAAGTGCGTGGAGGGGCTGTGGCAAGAGCTCGGTCTGGTACACTGTTTGGCCTACTCTATACGGATATAGGTATAGAATATAAACTCATATGTGAGATGTGCTTGAATGTATATATGGATATGAATATGTTAGAGATGCTAGGGTCGATACCCACTTGTACACGTGTGAGCGTACAGGCTGTGACAAGAGCTGTGTTCAACACAATACTTGTCCAAATCTAATCATTAAAATTATACATTGTCGACATGTGTACCAAAATACACCCATGAAAATTCACACACACACACACACAAACACACACACACACACACACACACATATATATATATA